ACCACCTCAGGAGTGGTGAGCATTAAAAAATTTTTAATTTTAAGGACTTTCAACGCCAAGGTCTTCAAACCTTGTTCTTTGCTGCACAAACACTTATCAGCTGCTCAGTCTTTCTTGGGGGACCTATGAATACAACTGTGAGACTCTCACTGAATCATCTGTGATAAACTGTAGGTACAAGCAGGTTGCCCATGTTACCTCTCAAATAGGAGGCTGGGCTAGAGACCTCCTGAGATCCCTTCCACCCAGAACTATCCTGTGGTTCTGTAAGGAGGAAGTAAACCAGCAATTTGCTCTCAAACCAGGATTAGGAGACATGCAGTATGCTCCCTTAAAGTTTGTCATCAGATAATTTGTGATAAAATAACAAATTCATGGCCTTCACCCAACAGTTGTTAAATGTCCATTTGTTGAATGATAACTTTCCTGAGTGTCTTGTTATGGAGCTCATACACTACTGCCGTGGACTGTTACTCTGTCCTAAAAGGCCACCAGTGGACTTAGCAATGGTGGTTTGGTATTAGATCTGGCTGTAGAGCCTCAGCTAGGCTCAGCTCAATGGCTGAGCTCTTTAGCTTATTACTGCTTTTTCCCATCCTCCTGCAAACCAAGGCATTTGCCATAAAAAGTGAGATTTGTGTTATATAACTGTTCTGCACACTGGACCTCTTCTGTAGTAGGAGAGAAGTGTGATTACTGTCAAATATATATATAGCTGTGGCAGGACTGTCTCTGCTGTGCCAGGAGCAGTGCTCCTCACGGCCGGGCTCAGGGGCCGGAGGGAGCAGAAGAATCAGGATGGAGATTTCTCCTTCCCATCGCATGACACCCAGCACAGGCCCTATTGCTGCCGTCACTGCTGTAGCACTGTGGTGCCACTGGCGGGGTGTGTCCTACAGCCCCCCTCTGCTCCACGCAAGACACAGCAGGAGGGATGGAGACATGTCCTACAGCCCCCCTCTGCTCCACGCAAGACACAGCAGGAGGGATGGAGACATGTCCTACAGTCCCCCTCTGCTCCATGCAAGACACAGCAGGAGGGATGGAGGCACCGGCCTCCAGCCCTCTGCTCCCTTCCCACTCCCTGCATCACCTTTGGAACCTATTTAAAGCAGATTAGCCTGGGCCAGGCTGGCACCCAGGGCCACCACGGCTTTCTCTGCCGCCTGTCCTCGTGCCAAGGATGCATAGAGAGGCTGGTGGCCCCGGCAGTGCAGCCGCAATCATCCCTGATCACCATGCAGGGAGTCCTGCGCCTGGCACAGCCCAGCTGCCCCTGGCTGGCCACACAGCAGTGGCTCTGGGCAAGAGCCCGTGGGCCACCACTGGGTGCTGGCAGCAACCTGGAGAGGTGCATGGGGAAAGTTTGTGTACTCCAGAGACCCAGTAAAGAGCTTCATTACAAAAGTGTCCTAACTCCCTGGTTTGGAGGGAGCTGCATAAAAGCACTGAAAGCTAAGTTCCTAAATCTTTCACAGAAACAAGCATAGCGGGGCCCAGGGGTGTTGTCCAAGTCTTGAAGGGGCACTGAAGGCGACAACACACAATATTTGAGAAAGGTGCGGAGCACTTTGCTCTGGACACAACTCCCTTGCTCTCCCTTGCTCTCAACGGCCAAGCACTGGGCTGGCACTTCACCACCCTGCTATACCACTGGGGCCATCTTGGAGAATATGCAACGGGTGGTCCCTGCAAAAAGCCCCATGCAGTAATTTTGGGCAGATGCTTGCACAGGCGGGAGGTGGATGCCATTCCCCCAAGGAGCTCGTTGCAGTAGGGCAGCTTGGCCCCACCAGGGTCCCCTGCAGCCAGGAGCTCCCAAAACACCACTTCCCAGGAGACCCATGCAAATAGCTGAGAGAGCTGAGGGATGCTGCTGAGTGGCGCCTTGCAGACATCAGTCACACTGCTCCTTTCTACCCTCTCCTTCCCTGGGGCATGACAATGTCTGCGCAGGAGTGTCCTCTCAGTGTGACAGAAAATACAATTGAAAAATAAAGTCTTTTCTGTCTCCTTCACCTTCCCACATATCTTGTACACAAAAGCCAAATCATTACCCTAGAGACTAATAATATGGTAATTGTAACATTTGTGATCCAGGAATTTCAGGATGTTTACTGAAGAAGTTATTATTTCACTGTGAAATTGCTACCATGCATTCCTGAAGATTCCCTAGAGAGCTGAGCACAAGCTTGAAGAATACAGAACAGGGGATTTTTTGTCCTGGCGTGTGACATGTCTAGTTAGGAGACACCCACCAGCTCCCCTTCACCTTGTTTTCTTTGCTCCAGCTCCATTTCCAGGGAGGCAGGGGTGGAAAGTGAGCTGCCAGTACCCATCAGCTGGGGAGTGAGAACTCTCTCATTTTATTTTCAGCTGCTGGCCACCTGCTAACCACAGAAATGCTGCCTTCAAACACCAGCGAAAGACTTTGAAAAGAAATGGGGATGGCTTTAGTCTCCATCACGCTGCTGCAGCGACTCCCCTGATATAGGTGCTTCTGTCACAGGGATCACAGCTGTGGCTTTACTTATTCTTTCTTTCTTTCTTTCTATGTTTTTTTGTTTGGTTGGTTGGTTTGTTTGATTGCCAATGTGTAAGTCCAAAACCCAGTTTGCCGGTTGGTCTGCAGCACCGGGTTCAGAGGTGGCTGGTGGGGAGGACGTGCAGAGGGAGCTGGAAACCTTTGAGCAACAGAGCACTCATTCCCACTCCGGGACCTCCCACCTCTCTGGGAGAGAACCACATGAACCACTTTTGCTTGGAAAAGGAAGGTCTAGCAGACCCCACCACCCTGGGGAGGCTCCAGCCTTCCCAAAACAGTGGCATGCACAAGGCTGCTTCTGCCTTCCATCACCAAACCAGAAGCCAGCAATACTTTCCCTCTGGGCTAAATCCTCTTTTTCTCTCAGTCCAAACCCCAATATTTCTGTTCCTATTTCGGGCACTTTAAAAGAAGGCAAGCATAGGATACGGAGGCTTTAAAAAGCCAGGAAAGACAAAATGTTTGCTGAGAATCAGAGTTCAGGCCCCTTGGTGGGGTGGCGAAGGGGAAGGCAAAGCACATGCACACCCCACTGCAAGCTCTGGCTGCCCGGCTCCAGGACACCCTACCGCAGGCTGCTCGGCACCTCTGGTTATAGCTTAATCCTGAGGGTCTGCACACATGAATCCCCTTCTCACAGTGATATGCCCCTTCTCAGCTTTGCTCCACACTCTTTAGTCTTGGCACTGGTTTCTTTAAGCACACAGCTTGGTTCTGAGGCAATTTTCTGTGCAAGGGGCCAGCTAACACCCCACCTGGCATTTGGTGACCAGGAAAAACATGTTACGTGCTACCTTTTTCTGGGTGGCCCTCGGTGGATAAGGATTGCTTGTACGCTCCCAAAACAGCTATGTGTATGCATGTGTACTCTCAGTTCTTTGGAAAACATTGGGCAATTGGAAAGCCAAGTAAGTTAAGCTCTGTGAGACAGCAGTAAATGTTTTTTTCATGTCTATGCTCTCCAGTGCAATTACATGGGGTTTCATTAGTAAAAAACAGGCTGACAGCTCCAAAATCAACAGGCAATTCTACTGACAAAAAAAGGCTTGAAGCTTTTGAAGTTCGTTCAACATTTCTGAAGTCCAGCAGATACAAAGTTCTCAAACATTCCCATCTGTGCTCTGCCTAGTTTGTTTTCTCCATCCACAGTGTCAAAACACAGCTATGGTCATATAGTAAAGACTGTAAAACTATCATGGCCCAGAGAAGAGTAAGCTTGGAAAAATTTCTTACTAATCATTGCATCCCTTTAATGCACTCCTGCTCTCACTACTGAAATGCTGCAGGAAAGGCTGGAGACAGGCATTGAACACCCAGCCAGCTACACTCAGACCGTTTGCAGTTGATTGAGCACAGGCCAGGTTGCCCATGGACCTGAAGCTACGGCTTTGTATGAACAGATCAGGACGAAGCTTTGGCTGCACTACCTGCTGATCTATCAGATACTGGTGGGAGTTCGTTACAAGGTACTGCCCCATGTGCCATATGCACTTTTCTACTAACCTCTGTGTATTGCTGAATTACGTTTTCGGGAGTTGGTCCCAGGAAGACATAGAAGTCAAGGATCCCTCCAATAGTGCGGAAAGTTAGGGATGGGTTTGGACTCAGAGTAACATCTGAAAGGGAAAAAACAGGTTGTCAGGACAAACTAGCTCTGCGCTATGTGTGGGAATGGTTCAAAGCTGCATCAGGGGAGGTTCAGACTGGACATTAGGAAGCATTTATTTACCGAGAGGGTGGTCAAACACTGGAACAGCCTTCCTAGAGAGCTGGTCAATGCTCCAAGCCTGTGTAGTGTTTAAGAGGCATTTGGACAATGCCCTTAATAACAGGCTTTAACTTTTGGTCAGCCCTGAGTTTGTCAGGCAGTTGGACTAGAAGATCATTGTAGGTCCCTTCCAACTGAACTATTCTATTCTAGTCTAGTCTAGTCTAGTCTATCCTATCCTATCCTATCCTAGATGCATGCACACTGGGCACTTCTGTGCATAAACATATCCCCAAGCAGAGGTGGCTACAAGTTCAAGTCACTACCCAACACCTTGTGGGTACGATTGGATGAGCAAACAGGACCTGTACATAGGCTAGCAGTTGCCCAGTGCTTCTGTAATCTTGGCTTTCAGATTGGCGATATGCAGCAACAAATCACAGAAACCCACACAGAGTAGATTGCGCAGATCCATTTGTGTCAGTTTCATTTATATAAAGAGGAACCACAAGCGTGTGTTTAGGGTTCCTCTATGCTATTTTAATCTTCTTACTGAAAGTTATTGCCTGCCAGAGGAAACTGATTTTATAGACTGAGTGAAGATTCCCCTTTTCTGAAATTATACCACCGGATTAATACAGTAAGGTGACCATGGCAACGCACAAAACTATTCTCCACAGGCAGAATATAGGACTAACTTAAATTGATTTGATTCAGTTATGCCAATCCCAGAGGAAATTTCTCCCACCTTCTCTTTTCCCTGGATGTGCATCTATTTTCCAAAAAAGCTTAACGGTATATTTTCACCTTACCTTGTTAAACAGTCATTCTAATGAAATCCCTTTGAAGACTTTATAGTAATTCCTGGAGCCTCAGTTATGGAACAGTCACTCATATTTGTACCACATTGAAAAAGCGATCAGTAAAACAGGGGGTTTTATATTTACTAATTTACCATCTTTCTATATGCAGTCCATATAGGGAATCCAGGTATCTTTTTACCTTGTGCATTGGAGTTCAGAAGGAGAACACCATGAGCGTTAGAGTCGGCTTCCACACACATATAGAAAGGGTGAACTCCATAGAGGTTGGCAAATGACTGAAACATAAACAGCACATTAGTTAGGCTTGAATTTGCTATTTTTCACCATTTTTGTCAGTTAGGTACATACGCAAAGACAAGGAAATAAATTCATTCATAGATAGAGACTTGTTCTGAAAGGTTTGGGATTTTTTCATCTGAACTGGTGTGAAGTCAAATTGATAGAAGAGAGTTATTTTTTCTGCCTCAACACAGTGCTTCTTATTAATCTTAGTTAAACCCTTCATATTTTGCCAAATCCTCCAAAATGGCATGGGTAAGAAATACTTTGCTAGTTAAAACGGACTCATCAGCCACTGACCCCAGTTTAGCCAAACGTCTAATGAATGAGGCCTGCTGAAGTCCAGCTCGTTTGGAAGAACAGGGATTAACCCAACATGAAATTAAATGCTTTCCTGAACCAGGATCTTGGCACACAAAATACTTTTTTCTGAAAATTAACTGCACTGTGAGAAATCTTCTGATGAAAGGTTTCAAAGTCCCCTCAAAATGACTCATGGTTTTGTCATTTAATTAAAACTTACGACACCTGCAAAACCTGTGACATTCCATGTTTGCCATCGATTCACATTAGCAGCATTACCATACAGAGAGAGGCGCTCCCTCGGCAGCGCTGTACCTCACCATCTCCTTTTGGTGATACGAGTTAGGACAAAGAGTTGTATGAAGTGAATTACCGTTGGTGCCTGATACGTAGGTAACAAAGTCCATGTTGTGTTTGAAGGACAGGTGCTCATGTTCACCAAACCCATACACCGAAGTGGATGGCACAGTAGTTGTGATCTGAAGAAACTGGTTGGAGAAAAACAGATCAACCAGGGGACTGTCCCACCTGTAACAAACAGAGGCATGATTAGTTTGCTTATCTTTGATATTCATCATTTTGGGTTCACATCTGGCTATTTATACTTCTTCTGTATCTTGGAGAGTAACAACATTAAAAAAGCATTAAATTCTATGCATGCCTCTAACATGCTTAATCTAAAACACATTAAATTCATCTTGCAATGGCTGCAGATATCTCATCTACTTATACAATAAAATGCATCAGTATAATTTTGAAAAGAACAACTAAAAAAACAGAAGACACTGTCTATAATCCTATTACCAAAATAAGTGGTTGCTTTTGCTATTTCTATGACAACCAACGGGGCAGGCTAAAATTGTTATTACGCAGTGGGGTTGAGAACAACAGACATTTAGTTGTTATCAGTTTTTACTTTTTAATCTTTTGCTGGATGAGGAGCCAAATACTCTTGTTACCCCCAACTTTATGCAGGCGCCTAAAGCAGAGGGATAGCTTCCTCCAGACTCTGCTTGAATGAGATGTTTTTATTGTGATGACTCTCTCCTGCTTCTCTCGCCAGCTTAATGCCTTTATTTCTATTGAATCATCTGTGGACACAAGCTCACATTTTAATTAGGTGTTACATTCTGTTTCCTATCTCTAGTGCTATAATGAGCTGCAAGCTAGATGGGGGAGAACATAGTCAAGCTGTGGAGAAGTGTTTCGTTAATGGTACTGCGTATGCCATGAGTACCACATTTAGATAGCACCCTCTCGAGCCTTGTTTAACCATGAATTTGTTACAGCTAATTAAAATAAATGAGCCAAAGCCATAGAGCATGCAAGTGGCATAACTCTCCTTTTAATGGTCTTTTGTCAATGATTTTGACAAAATTAAATGTTTGATCAAATTGACTGGTAAATCAGAGAAGTGGAAGACGGGCTGTGTCGGTGGGGAGCAGCACCGCCCCCGGGAGGGGACCACTCCCTGGTGAGCCCTGGCCGCCGCGGTGCCACTGGCAGCCCTGCTTGGGGACAAGTCCCTGCTGCTGGGAAGACTGGGAGGGCACCGCCGCTCCCACCACACCGGCCTCGGGCAGCTCTGCTCTCCCCGCAAGGAAGCAAGGACAACCGCTCACAGGGGTGCCCAGAGGTGGATCCAAGGCACCCTCCTGCCTCTCCATGCAAAAAGCAGGTACAATCTATCCCTAAAGTGTCCTAGACAAGTCCTAAGTCAAGCACACGTACTGAAGAGTCTATGTGGGTTTTTTTTAAAGTCTGTTTGGCCTTTCTCACAAGCAGGAAAAGTAAGAATTTGCATTTAAGTCTTGATTTGGTTGTTTGCCAGCAGCAACCCTCCCTTCCATCATCTCCTCCACCTACACACAGTAGTGAATAAGGTTATTTTCTTATAGAAAGGTTAACGCACACAAAATATTCCTGAGAATCAGATCCAGCCCTTGGCAAACAGAGGCCTTTCTGCAAGAGGGTGCTGCTGTGTAGGAATGGGGATGGGCTCTGGAGCTATATTCCTGTCCAAAGGAGCACTGTCACACAGCTCTGCTCTGTGCCAAGGCAGGCACAGTCACCGCTCTGAGCAGACCACGGGGTTATGCAAAAAGCAAAGGATGCCGGAGGGGAAATGCTTTGCAAAGAGCTTAAATATCTGTCCTAACTCATTGAGCGCTCTCCATGATGCCTCTTCAGAGGACGTGAGGCTCTGTGCTTTCATGGTACCCACGTTACACACTGACATTTCCCGTCATGAGAGCAATTAGTGTTACCATGGCACTAAAAGTGCCCCTTCCACTCAGCAACTCCTCTCCCTGCCCAGGAGTGTCACTGGGATGGTACAAACCACAACCCTAAGAACAACCCTTCTGCCCCACCACGTCTTTAAATGGCACGGAGAAACAGTTTTATATCTCATGCATTCCCTTGGGCCACCATCACGCACTCAACTCCTGCATGGCATCACCAAAAGAGCGCCCTGCTCTGCACCCCTCCATCGCTCAGCTCCCCGGGGGCTGCCACTCTCCACAGCACAGCTCCCTGTGCCGGGCTGCGAGCCATCGCTCTTCATCAGCCTCGTCTTCCATTAGACCTCTGCTTGCCAGAACAGCCACGCGCTAAATATAACATTAACTATGACATAAAAAGACTGGTAATGACTGTCTCTTTTTTTCCAGGCACCATTATGTCTTCTCCATCTGAAGGAAAGCGTGGACAGGTTTTCCCCTGGCATCCCTCTCTGCCTCCACTCCCAAGTGGCTGCCCTTGTGCTTGGCAGCGCACTGTGATAAGTGTTGTGTTACTTCATGCGTTTGCTTGTGTTGTGTTGGCAAAGAGCAATCATTTAAATGAAAAAATGATGTCTGTCATTCCTTAAGCACTTGGAGACAATAAAAGAAAACATTATATTTCTCCCACCTCTCCTCCTGCTGGTTTAAAGCAGATAGAAGGAACAAAACAGGAGGAAGCATAAAATGACACCATGTGCGCAGGAATTTGCGTAGTCCTCCTCCAACAGTCCTACAAACCATAAGAGTGCTGTGATGGACAACAGAAGGGATCTAAAAATCTAAAAAATCTAAAAATACAGCTGAGCAGTTGTTCGCTGTCAAAAATTCACCCCCTACCAGGAGTCAGACATGGCAAAGCCTACGAAGACAAGAACCCTTTTCTTTGCACAAGGTTCACTGCTGAAAGTCCTAACCCTGTAGTGCCTCTGTGTGGGGAACACTCCTGCCTGTGGAAATACAAACCGGGCTCCCCACACATCTGCCTGGCCCATTGCCTGCTGACATTTGCCTGCTGCCTGTCCGGAAAGTCTGACTGATAAAAGTTAGTGTTTTCTTCCAAATACCGTGCGCTATACTCAAGAGTAAACCTCTCTAATTTTTAACCTTGCATTAAGGAAAAAAAAGAATGATTCAGGATTGAAAAGGTCTATATGAAAACTAACATTTCTGGGCAGCAAGTAAACCAGTCTCACATCCAGCAGTCAACCCTCAGGCCACCAGGACGAAACGTAACTGCAGCGGACCAGGGAAATAGTATTAAAGGAAGGTGGGTAGGCAGATAGATAAAACATCCTGTTCATGTTGAAGGTGCAGTTTATGACTAACATTGTCACAATGTTTGAGCGGGATGACTAAAAGCAATATAAAATAGTTTTGAGAAGTGCAATCATCAGTCCTTTGTAATACAGACTGGACGTGACGGTTTGCCTGGTTGAATGACTTCACTCTGAAGTTTATTGGAGACCAATAACTATGGTGTATGCAATGGCTCAGAGCACGGACTCTCGCCTGCCGTGAGCAAGCAGCTGGTGGCACACACTGAGAGGTCTTATAAAACCTCCAGATTTAGGAGACTTGGGACATGCATATGATGCACCATTAAGACATGCATAATGCATTATTTAGACATTCAAAAGTCATTTTAGGTTGGAAGAGGGTTTTTTTTCCTTCTTGTTGCAATGAATTCAAGAGAAATGAGCTCATTAAGGTGTGAACATCTATCCCACTCAGCTGCTTGGAGAAAATGTCCTCTCTAACATCTGCTGTTCTTGGCCTCCAGACTCTTTGGAAACCATAGCCTTGTGAAAGGGAGCACACCATATATATTATGTGTGTGCGAATTCAGGCAGAACCTTCACATGTCTATCACAAGTGGGTCTAACATCCTGGCAGAGCTTGGGCATACCTGTGCAGAGGGCACAGGCTATCGCTGTATGCACTGGCTGCCTACAAAGCAGTAAAGCACCTTAGAGATTGAGGAATATAGGCCCTATTTTCAGAAGAACCTCAAATGTGCTTGGCCCCTGACTTGCCCCACTTCAGCTGTGGAGGAGCATCAGATTAAGAAAATCAGCTCTGTGATTTTCCATTGCTCTCAGATTGCTGAAAAAATGTTTCTACTCTCTCACAACAGCCATATTCCTTATTAGCTGTAAGTCTTGGGGCACCACTGGACTGCAGAAGGCACACCAAGAATGAATTTTTATATGCTTATCTTACTTTTAAGGTGATTTATCAAATAGGTGGAGAAAGTCAGCATGAGTAACCAACAGATTTTCCACAGATGTGACATTTTAAAAGAAAGAATCGCAGAGTATATTTGCAGTTATTGACACAGTTCTGCTCTACTTCTACTGTATTCATTGTCATAGTATCAGGGCATCTCCTATAAGTGGCTGGATATATAATGCTTCATATTTGTTCTGAAAAACACTTGGGTAAGTGATATACCTACAATACTTCTTGCCTACGTAACATAAATCTTAATGATTAGAAGACTAAAATAACGGCTCTTACAAACTAGGAGCAAACCCAAGCTACCCATGATGCACACAATTTGCTCCTGTTGCTTTCAGCAAAATTGCAGTTTAAGACAATAGCATTATAAATCATTCTAATAGCCTTGCCTATGTAAAAGCATCTTCATGGTAAGTGGCATCTGTGCTTACTACCATGATCAATAAAAAAGGCAGCTAAACTCTGCAGCAGCCTTTTTGGAAATCAGGGAAAATCTTGATTAGATTTTTATTTGTGTCGTGTCTTCCCAAGTGTGATAGCAAACAAGGTATTCCAAACTCTTAATAGAGAGAATGGAGCACTTATCTGGCTTGGGAAAAGTGTTCTGCCTTCCATTATTCGTATGACATCATGAAGGAAAAGTCACTCGCAGAACGGATATTAAAGTGGAGAATCAAATCAATAGTCCATCCCTCCGCTGCCTGTCTCCAGCAATGGCCCAGGCCAGATATCACAGAGGAAGGCATAAGATGTCACTCAGAGCCAATCTTGCAATAATCTGCTTATGGAGGAAGTTTCTGGCTGTTTTCATAGGATTAGCTTATGTTTTGAGACATGGAGACAAAAATAGTTAGGTTTTTTTTTTACAGATAATTTTTTTATTATGCGTGAATGTGTATCCTGCTAAGCCTACCGTGTCAGTACTGCCCTGGGGCAACGAGTCCCACAGAGTAATCACACACTGCAAAATGAGGATGTCTTTGTTATTTATCGCTGCCTTAAAGCAAACAGTTCCCGGCCTTTTACTCTCTGTTCTTGAGGAAATCTATGCTTTCTTGAAGCCTTCATGCTCACACTCGATAGTACCTCCTCCAGTGGTTGCTGCTCTCCATGGCAGGTGCAGAAAGGAGAATAGTACTCAACCTGAGAGCACATGCCACTAAATAACACAGAGGCTCCGTTTTGCTCCCTTGCCTGCCTTATTACAACCCAATATTTTCTCTTCTGTTTTTTATTACTGTAGAGCCCTGTCCAGCAATGGGCCAGTTTCCCAGCAGAGCCACAAGATCAGCTAGGACAGTGCGAGCAAGGATTTATTAAACTATAGCTGATTACAAATTTCTTGACAAAACATTTTGCCACTGATCGTGCTGATTTGCCAAAAGAGCTATTTTCTAAACATCATGGGAGCAGGGAGAGGTTCCCCACAGCCTCCACTGCCACACAATGCCGGTAGTTTGGGAGGTTCATCTCTGGAGTGGGAGACCCAGGCTCGAGTCCCTGTCCCTCCTGGTTCAGATCTAAAACTTGGAGCCTTAAATCAGATGCAGGTTTGGGTTACATTCCCAGCAAAATGGAAAACACCTGACATCTGTACGGGAGCGGGGGCTCTGCCTGCCCCTCGTCTCATCTGACCTCCTCAGCACCTCACCGGCAAATGCATGGAGGTGGCACCTCCTCACCCCCATGGCTTTGGAGAGCTGCTGGCACAGGGAAGGACCTTCCCTGGCCACCAGCAAAACAGCACAGCGTGGGAGAGGGGGAAGAGGGGCAGGAGCAGGCAGGACTGGATGGGGTAGACAAAATGGCAGCAGTGTAGGGGAAGGAGAGAGGTAAGAGGGAGGAAGCCAAGAGACATTGCCGGGAGGAGAAAGGGAGGCAGCCCGAGAGCTCCTGGTCCTGGAGACCCCAGCAGCGCCTGGATCATTTCCCTGCACGACCCCATCTAATTTTCACCCCATGCAGGCGAAGCAGCGGCTGTCACCTGATTACCTCGGAGCAAGCTGAAAATGTAGCGGGACTTGGCCTTTTATTCTTGCTTCTGGCTCTGCGTGAGGTTTGCAATCAGCTTTTAATGGCTCTCCCCTCACATAATTCATTCCTCTCCCCTGTTATTGTGATTACACAGAGCCCTGAGTTTGTCCTGCCCTCCTTGAACCCATGCTTTGGTAGCTCAGGTACGGCAAAGGCTCCTCGAGCTCAACGAGGAGGAGAAACGCCTGTGAAGCACATTCAGGAATATCTCAAAGTCTCCGCCGCCTCTCCCCTGCAACATTTCCAACATGGTATTAAATCATTCCTCACGAGGAGGCGGCTTTGTGCGCACGAGTGGCAGAGCTGGGATGGGGTTTTATATCAAGCAGACAGACGGGGAGCCTGCTGTCAGCTACCCAGTCGCTGCAAAGACACTGGCAGTGGGGTAGACTGCACCGTGGAAAGGAGGGGAGAGAAATACAAGCGTGGATTTTCAAAAAAACACCCAAACCTATACCACATTTTTGGTCAGGACAGGCTGCTCCCTCCCCACGTGGACTGGGTCAGCCGTGCCAGAGCACACTGGGGATCGTGAGGGATTTTAGGCCGTTTTTGGCGGGTGGGTCATCCGGCAGTGTGAAGCTGCTGGTGAGGATAAGGAGTATCATGTAAAACAGATTTCTGAGTATTTGGGATTGCTTTACAAGCCTTCCTCAGAGATATTAGAAATGTCCAGCAGAGCATCTGGACCTGGTTTGGTGTAGATACTAGTTATTATCCACTCACACCTGGGGAGTGCAACAGCAACACCTGTCAAAGAGGTTTTGTTTGCCCACATCAGCTGTTCTGAGCGATATTTGTGTGCATATGAAGATAACGATTGATTCAGCTGTTCGTTGAGACAGCAAGGCCACAGCCGTTCACATCTTAAAATAGGAGACTGAAGTCCCTGCAGCTGTTACGTGCTTGCCTGTTTCTCAGGGACACTTGCCTACACAGCCTGCCCCAACCCGGCACAGCCACGGCTGCGCAGCTCGGCGCCTGGCCCTGGGCACACGGTGTCCTGGAGAGCAGTAGATCCCACCTCTGGAGAGAGCCCAGAGGAAGATTTGGGGTTCAATGCCTTCTCTGCAGACTGCACCTGGGACGGGGGACAAGCCAACAATGAAGATGCTCTGCAGCGGTTCCT